ATACATACTAATCACTATCATTTGAACACTGTATATGCACATATATGCACATATATGCACATATATGCACATATATGCACATACACGCACATACACGCACATACACGCACATATACGCACATATATGCACATATATGCACATATATGCGCATATATGCACATATATGCACATACATATGGCCCCCTTCTTGCTGGGTCAACCATGCCCATTTGTTTTTCTATTTGCAACTTCCCAAAAATTAGCCACTGGCCTGTGTCCCAATGGCCGTCAGTGCTCTAGCGACCGCGGCACGTCTTCCACGAGGTCTTCTCGCGTAGAGCCGCACAGACTCGGATCACACATCGTGACATGGATCTGGGTCAAAATTGACAACCCACAACCCACAAATGAACCGGTCGTTCTTAGAAATTTGTTTAGTAGTCAACCAATGCTCACTATGTTTGCTGGTGCTTAGGCCCGAGTAGATGAGTCTCTTGGTGCCATGATGCATGTGTGCGCACAACCTCTTTTTTGGCTGGCAGAAGAAGTAAGTCTGACCGCTTTGCTGCAATTGCAGATGCCATGTTCTCTTATAGTTTTTGCAGCAGGAGACACAAAAAAATGATATTGACATGGGCTGACTCTGACGCTGTGACGTTTTAACCTGCAATATATCATTCTTAGATTTTTAAAAAACATAGACCGACCACAATAAACATTATGCCAGCATAGACACCAGAAAGCAAAACATATTTTATAATATTTTGGGGCAGCAACCAAACATTCCCCTTTTTTGATACGGCGTATCCATCAGGCCCCAACTTCCGCACTAACTTAGAGCTGCACCAGCACCCAAACTCCACAGGGCACACCGCCCTCTGACAGCAGCACCCTGCAGCGGCACCACCAGCAACCAAGCAGCACCTTGCAACGCCACCCCAGCGGCACCCTACACGGCACCAGCAACCCAGCTCCAAAACGCAAACATGCAACTCTGCCTATACTTGAAGTAAGAACCCCATTGAAGTAAGAGCCCCAATAGCTCGTTATCTGGGGAATAACAAACCCATCCCACATGGATTGAAGCCAAAGGAACTGTGAAAAGAGTTGGGCTATGGTTTCAAACTGAGGTCCTGAAGTACTCGCAAAGTCGGTCATATAGTACCAGTAATGCTGCGCAAGGCGGTGGCGAAAGTTTCAAGGATAGGACGCTATAGGAGAGGTGAATTGTTGTGATGCATGGATGGCAGAACCAACACTGATGAACCGAAAGGTGGTTGGAGTTGTGCTTTTCGGAGTGGTTGCAATGGTTGCAGTGGTCACCTGACTCACAACTCCTGGATGAGTGTGGTGTACTGCAGTAGTTGTAGTTGTAGTTGCAGTTGTAGTTGTAGTTGTAGTTGTTGCTGTTGTTGTTGTTGTCGCTGTAGTGGGGTTGATGTTGTTGAAGTTGTAATGTTGTGGCTGTAGTTGTAGCTGTGGTTGTAGCTGTGGTTCTTGTAGCTGAAGTGTAGGTGAAGCGTAGTTGAAGTTGTAGTTGTAGTGGTAGAGTAGTTGCAGTTGAATTTGTAGTGTGGTGTAGTGCAGTTGCAGTTGTCTATCTATCTGTCTAGTTGTCTTTCTGTTTATCTGCCTATCCATCTATCTATCTATCTACCTACCTACCTATCTACCTATCTACCTATCTACCTATCTACCTATCTACCTACCTACCTATCTAGCTATCTAGCTATCTAGCTATCTATCTACCTATCTACCTATCTACCTATCTACCTATCTACCTATCTACCTATCTACCTATCTACCTATCTACCTATCTACCTCTCTCTCTCTCTCTCTCTCTCTCTAGCCAATCTAATCTAATCTAATCTAATCTAATCTAATCTAATCTATCTATCCTATCTATCCTATCTATCTATCTATCTATCCGTCCATCCATCGATCTATCTCTCTATCTCTTCATCTCTCTATCTCTCTATCTCTCTATCTCTCTATCTCTCTATCTCTCTATCTCTCTATCTCTCTATCTCTCTATCTCTCTATCTCTCTATCTCTCTATCTATCTATCTATCTCTCTCTCTCTCTATCTCTATCTCTCTATCTCTATCTCTATCTCTATCTAACTATCTAGCTACCTGCAAGTTTGAAAACGAGGCTATTCTGCGAGACGTCCTCAATTTGTGAACTTGACAACATCAAAAACGCAGCAATTCTGCGAGACTTCCTCAACTTTTGAACTTGACAACATCAAAACCGAAGCTATTCTGCGAGACTTCCTCAATTTTTGGAAGTTGACAACATCAAAAACGAAGCTATTCTGCGAGACTTCCTTCAAAAATGGAAAGTTGAGTGCAGAGCTGACGGCCTCGTACCAATGCGTTTTGCGTTTTTTCCATTCCACCTGTCTAAAGTACTGCGCCTGCCACGAAAAATTGATGCCAGGTCATACGAAGTTCTGCACCTGTCACGCAAAATCATCTCATCAAGATCTGATGCCCTAACCTCCTAACATCTCTGATGTGCCACGCGAAATGCATCTTTGCAGATCCTCTGCAAATGTCCCACGTCTGCCATCGTTTTTGGAAATGCTACAAAACCCTGACGTTTTGCGCACTTTTGACAAGGTGCCCAATCCCTTGCGCCTGCCACGCAAAACGACAGTCCAAAAGCGGCGCGAACATGTTGTGTTTTGTACATTTTGACTTCGAAATGTGCTTCGCGCTACAACGGCGTACACTTTTTCGACATGTCAACTTCCAAAAGCGGTCCGAGCATGATGACCTTTGTACATTTCGACTTGGAAATGTGCTTCGCGCCACAACGGCGTACACTTTTTCGACATGTCAACTTCCAAAAGCGGTCCGAGGATGATGTCCTTTGTGCATTTTGACTTGGAAATGTGCTTCGCGCCACAGCGGCGTACACTTTTTCGACATCTCAACTTCCAAAAGTGCTCCGAGACCGTCAGTTTTTAACATTTTTGACTTTGAAGTATGCTTCGCGCCACAACGGTGTCAACTGTGGGGTGTGCTCGGCGCTGCTGGACACATTCCACAAAGCACTACCAGAAGCATACGGCGAGGCATGGGTGCCAACAGCACACACGGACTGCCAAAGAGCAGTCCTTCAAGTTTCACCTCACCGAAGCGTGCAACTGTGGGATGTGTCCGGCGCTGCCGGGCACATTCCACAAAGCACTACCAGAAGCATACGGCGAGGCATGAGTGCCAACAGGACACACCGCCACAGCTTGCCAAAGGCAGCTTTCAGATTTCATCTGCTGTAACAGCAACACAGACACAGGCCGGAAAAAAACATACAATAATATTATATATATATATATTTATTTAAAGTATGTATTGTATTGTATTGTCTTGTCTTGTCTTGTATTGTATTGTATTTGTATTGTATTGTAGTGTATTGTATTGTATTGTATTGTATGTATGTATATATGTATACTCACATGTGCAGGAAACGCATACTTTTATGGGCACGGCACATCAAATTAGTTATCAGTCAATCATTAGTTGAAGGTTGATCGGTTTGATTTGGGTTTGGGAGCGGTTTTGTCCTGGTTTTAAACGTGCTCGTGTCACGGCCATGCGGCAAGCGCCACCGTTAACCGTTAACTCATCCAGACTAGTCTCAGACCCAAAACTGTTTGGCAGTTATCCGAGCCAAGGTATCTAGCGGACGGCTCAGCGCTGCCTACAGAACAGTGAGAGACGACCCACTCCCCGACGGCAAGACGACCGACGATCCCAAGACGACCGACGATCCCAAGACGACCGACGACCCGAAGAAAAATGAAATCGAGATTGTTGAGATCTGTGATGACTGAGTGCTAACTTAGGCAGTGGGCGCCGGCGCTTAAAAAAATCAGTCGGTAAAGTAGGGCATGGATAAATAAACAAGATTCCCATTGACTTAAGGAGTATAACAAGGGATTTACACATCCATGGAAGACGGATGGCGCCCTGTGTTTTGGCCACAAGCCCTTGCCCGGATATCTCATCCAGCATCTTTGTGCCCAGACCAGGTTGGTGTCCAATTGTGTCAAATTACACGGTCGGCAGGGCATGTGATCTTCTCAATCAGCACGGAAGCGGCTACTCAGCGGCTGAAAAAAATGCTCGGGTGGAATGAACGCCCTTTGTTTCCACATGGAATACCTTCCATATTTTGGTGTCACCCTTCAATTTTAGAGACGCTGTGAAACGCTTTTTTCAGAAGTTCTGCCTTTTTTCGACATCTCAGCTTCCAAAAGTGCTCCGAACGTGAGGTGTTTTGTGCATTTTGACTTCCACATGTGCTTCGCGCCACAATGGTGTGTAACTTTTCATCTCTCATCTGGCCAGATGGCTCCGCGCCCGCCGCTTTAGCGAGCCTACTTTTCGACCCCTCCGGAGCCACAAATCATTGAAAAAACACAGTGTTTCGCGACTTTCCTACCTTTTCGCGCATCTGAGCTTCTTTCTTCTGACCCTTTCTCTTCTCTGATCTTCTCTCTTCTGCTCTTCTCTTCTCTGACTCTTCCCACCTCTGCTTTTCCATCTGTCCATATTGTCGGAAGTTTGACTTCTAAACTTCCTTCGACTAAGCCATCCATTTTGTGGATAAATGGTTTTGAGCTTTAGCCAATTGGGTGTGTCTTAAAATGGGGTTGCCCATTTCATCCCATGATTGATCACAATTTTGCCAATCTTTTACTCTCTCTCTCTCTATGTAAAATAATAAAAAAAAAACATACCCCCTTGGACACAGCCAATTGGTGCTAAACAAACCTTCCAATCCAAGTCCCCGGCAATGTCTGCTGCTGAGACCTCGGCGTGTTGTCGTTTTTTTAAATTGGTCGATAAACTGGCCTCATAAAAATATGATAAACCAGTAAAGCGAGAATGGTTGCACCATAAATCTATTGAGTTACAGCAAACAATTCGCAATTTGCTTGCCAAATATCTCGAAAATTGATTTCTCTGCACCATTCCTAAGATCTTTACTCTTGTAGGACTGGTACACTCATCCTCCTGACCTGCACAGCGGACAATCAGCTACAGTAGGGAGTGGAACCTCTTGCGACTCTGCACCAAGTGGACACTATTGATGAATACTCAATGAATACACTTGTTGTAGATCCAAGGGAAAATTGACGAAATGATGACGACACTTAAAGGTAATACGACAGTCTCCCATCGCTCAGAAAAAACCCTTCATGACCTGGCCCAAAAGACGGATCAACAAACTCTGCCAAGGGTATCCTTAGCTGAATTTCAGGCTGCAAGGATCTGCCTTTCCTGGATCTGCAAGGCAATCTCCTGAAAGTACTATGCAGGTGACCCAAGTCCCAAAAATATCCAAAAATCATTCCACATATTTCCACATCATCCAAGTATTCCAAGATATTCCAAGTATTCCACTCCAAGTCTACCTCCAAGTTTCCGAGTTACTGCCCCTCGTGCGCCCGACATCTGCACTGCAACCACGCACCTTGGCCATGCAGCAACGCGCAGCACCGCGCAGCAACGCGCAGCACGTCGAGGTTCATCGAGGTTCATCGAGGTTCATCGAGGTTCATCGGTTTGCAGCCAAGGTGCGGTGGCAAAGTTTCGCCTAGCGATTGCAGGGCCAAGGTGGCACCATCTTCGGCAAAGACTAGTAGAAATTGTCCCACATACCTTCGCCAGAAAGACGAAAAATAATCAAAAAGACGCAATACTTAATGAAGTCTTGATGACTTACTTCAATTGACTTCAATTGACTTCATCTTAATTCGCTTTCTTTATGGCACACCTTTGCAACAACTCAACGGCCATTCTGGGAACCAAGCAGGGCATGCCAGCAAGCTCCTGAATCACATTTCGAAGCACAATATCACTGTATCACTGTGTATCACTACTAAACGATGTTGGCAGTCCATCAATGTCCATCAATATCAATGATTATTCTACAGTATGAATCAGCTTCCGAAGTTGTATTGTCAGAGCTTGCACAATGGTTTTAAAAGTCAGAAACCTCACTGCAAAGAAGAATCCATCTGCAAGATGTCGCCATAGCTGATCACCAGGTTTCAAAGGCAACAGCGACAGTTCAGGCTCCGGTGCTGCCATGGCGACAAGGTTCGCATCATTCTGGGTCTAAAAATTGGGTACCACGGTACCACATTTTAACCGCGTGGATTGGAAATCACCATCGGTATCACTAATTTAGATTGCCATTTTGGGGTATCCCCCGTTTTGGTGAGAAACCCACAAAATATCACAAAATGATGTTGATCGCATTCCTAGAAACAACATGAACTTGCGTACGTTGGGAAAACATCTTGAATCTCAGGGTCTAGGAATGCTGGAGCGTATTTTGGCCGAGATTTTACAAACCCATTGCAAACTCTTTGGCTTGCTATCGTCTGGACTCAAATTTCCAGGATCAATCACAGTCACAGATAGTCACAGCACGTGTCACTCACAAGGGTAACCCGCAACATATTTCAACATTCAAAACCTCAGGAATCCTCAGAACTTCACCAAAAGCCACAGTCTGTCGCCATCTTCCTGGGCAAATTCCACTGAAAAACTCATCTGAATGAACGGAACTGACCTGAACGCTTGCTGCCTCATTGTAGCGATCGTCATCTGCAGCCAATGCTGCCTGGGCTCTCCATGACATTATATGTGGCATCAGCACCATTCAACAAACAACATGCCAAGCTGCAAGATGCTCCAAGATATTCCGGAAGATTCCAAAGGGTATCAAAGGCACGCACACTTTGCAGGAGGTGCGGGGGTTCCACCAATTTGTGCACCTCAAGACTACACAAGGAGATGCAGGGAGTAATATATGTAATATGCAACCCTGAATATTGGATTATTGACAAACCGCCATGTTTGATGTGTAGACTTTCAGTTACAAAGAAGACGAACAGTTGGGATAGTAGTCATGGAGTCATCGGGGATCATCAGCTCCGTGGGGGATAGAAATACCATATGATGTGAATTATCACTATTCTGTATATCATAGTTGTTCAAACATGTTCAAACCACCAACCATAGTGGTGTATGATGTGTATGATGTGTATGATGTGTATGATGTGTATGATGTGTATGATGTGTATGATGTGTATGATGTGTATGATGTGTATGATGTCATTCAATCATATTCCACCCCCATTTCATGCTAGTTAAACATGGTGAAATCCACATTTCTGTTCCTCTCGGCAGTCCAAACCTCCGTTTGGTTCAACTCTTAACACACTGTGAGCCACACCGGGGAAGAGGCACAGACCTGTGGCGGTGTCGAGCACCAGAACATGAAAACCATATGTCTATCCCCATTTGCAGTTGCAAGTAACTAAATTAACTAAGGATTAGTTCATGAGTTGAGAGATGGTCAGTGACTGATGTAAATTCTGAGGCCAACAAAACAAAACAAAACAAAACACACGTTTCTCTTAAGTTGCGGACTGTTGCAGGTTCAGTGTCACGGACGTCTAGGAGATCAACACCTGCAAATCGCAAATTACCGCAAATCACTGTGGATCGAAAAAATATGTGACCGTTCTACGGAAATGCTTCAACACCTGACGCATTACTTACCCGACTTACCCAAACTCCAAGGACTCGACCAAGCCCAAGTGAAGGGCCAGGTGAAGTTGTGACGTTGAAGGTCGGCTGCTTTATTCGCGTTCCTGGCAAGGGTGTAGTTTCACATAGTTTCGTTCAACCTTAGGACCTGGGGATATGATTGCAGACAAAATACTTCAATGATCTTCAAGGTTTGGACCACCACCGCTTTCCTCCAGATTCATTAAAGGAGCGCTGTGGTCTTCCAACACAGGGGCCTGCATCTGTGTGTTTTTTTGCCCGCCCTGCCCCCCCCCAAAAGGGAGAAAGTCTGAGTCACATCATTAGCCCTGAGTCGGACACTCATTGACACCTGTGTGGGTTGCATAGATACCTGCTGGACTGCACGTGCCTTAGCCACTTGTTGTGCTAACGTCTGTGCTGACACAGTCATCGACCCAAACAATGACACATATTTCACCAAGGCAGGGGCAGCCACCTGAGCTGGCCTTAGAAGTTTGTCATTTCCAATTTTAAGTGTCTCTGAAACCCACTCAAGCTTTGATGCTGGTCATTGGGGCACCAGCACTGAAGCCTTTCTGAGCACCTCCGGCGATCCGCGCAAATCACTTATGGCTGGGCAAACAGCCTGACGCTCTGCCCCGGTGTGCCTCATCCTCGGCGAAACCTCGTCGGTTCAGCGTGATGTCAGGATGGGCTCGATCCTGAGAGAGGCCAAACAAGCCCAAAATTCCCCAAAATGACACCATGAAGTGAGAAACTAACCTGAGGAAGTGCTTCAAACCTATTCAAACTATCAATCACAATGCTCATCAATTGCTCATCATATCTCATCAATTGCTCCAACCATTCTGAGGTTCCCACCCAGTCTCCCAGCAGTTCTTGCAAGATTGCCCGCACCTAAGCCCGAATAAATCAAAGAAATGCTGCCACTGACTCTGCACGAACTCTGCATGATCTCTGCAACCTAGGGCATGGCATCTTCTCCTTCATCCCCTGCCGGCCTCATCTCTCAAGTGTTTCAGGTGATCAAATCATCTCTGACGCCGGAGTATCTGATCTGTAGCCCTCCTTTCAGGAAGAGATGTGCACATTGAGTCATTGGGTCATTGAGGCTTCTGGCACTTGGGCAGGAGGAGGCTTCTCAGCCTAAGACACCAACAAAATCTTGCCACAGTAATCAGTCATTCCCTGGCCATCGCCGGTCAACACCCTACAATTCCAACCCAGATCATCCCAAATATCCCACTAGTAAGCAACTCGCTCCATACAAGGTCCAAGCATGAACACATCCACCAAGGTTTCTGACATTTTCTGACTACTCCTGTTTGTTGGGATCATAGAGTCATAGAGGATCAATATCCAACAATCATACATAAATCATACATAAATCATGCAGAAATCCATCTTATCTGACTGCCATGGCCTGAGATATCTGAGATCCCAGCTGTCCCAGAAGCTGCGTTGAAGGAGTTGCGCTTGCTCTGTGTCTTGGATGACCGGCTGCGATTCGAAAGAGCCTCGAAATTCCACCGCAGTTTCAACCCCAAACTTCCCAAACTTCCCAAACTTCCCAAACTTCCCAAACTTCCCAAACTTCCCAAAGTCCCGGAGTTCAAAGTTTGAAAAGTTTGAACAGAAAGGCTCCCGCATGCAGCTGCTGTAGCGTTATGCTCTCCACGCCTAAGTTCGAGTTGCAAGTCAAGTACATGAAAGATGCCTGCTGATGCCTGCTGATGCCTGCTGTCACAGAATTGTTACGTCTAGCTATGGCTCAGACTCCATTCATCGTCTGCTCCCGCAGCATCCTGGAGCAAAAATGAGCAAAATGCGTAGCAACTGCAGGGAATGGCACTGAACAACCCTGGAAAATATTTGAAAACTGGGATTGTCGTCCCATGCTGTCCCACGTAGGGTGGAAACTGTTGAACATTCGAAACCATGAGCCGTCATGAGCCAGTCAGTTTGTTAATTCGCTCCATGCCTGCGCTTGAGAAGAGCTCATGCAAGACTGGGCAGCAGCTATTGTCGCTGTGTCATTCAGAGTGACTCCCTGGACGTTGGGGAAGAAACAAATGAATACTCCTCACGCTTTCAAAGCTTTTCATGTCCCGATCGACAATGTATGTATATGTGTACGTATGTATATGTATGTATATGTAATTATGTATGTATATCTATATATAATTTATATATATATATATATGAGTGGCGGACAAAATTACTATCGGTTGTGAAGGTTTGTACTTCCATGCTATGTGCAAAAATAGGGTATCGGTAAGTGGGTGGTTCCCTATCGGTTGCGACTGTTTCGCACAAATTTGAACATCCCGTGTCCACTCCCCTCTACTTTAGTCTTCCGCTAATTCGTCGGTTATGTAAATGTATGTACATATATATATATATATACATATGCGTGCGTGCGTGCGTGCGTGTGTGTGTGTGTATATGTGTGTAATTGTATTCCAATTGTTTATCCGTCCATCCGGTCGTAGATCTATCCGACCGCCTCACTGAGGTAAAATCTGTCTATGTGCATTGAGGCCTTGTCTCTGTAGCTTGAAGGGATCCAACCTGTCCAACTTGAAGTCTCAATGGATTGGCTTAAGGGAAAATCTACAGGAAACCATGGTTTTTACCATTAAATATAGGGGTTTCCTGTAAGTTTTCCCATCATCCAGTTCTATGAAAGTCTGATGTGTGCAGAATGGTATCATCATCTTCCGGCCTAGCTCGTCACAAGCGCGTTCCCACTCTCCATCCTGAAGCATTTTGCCAAGTGTCTGGAAAAATGATGAAGAACCAAGACTTCGAAAGGTGATCCAAATATTGAATCGATGTAATAGCTAGCTTGTCATTTTGAGACAAACCCATGTAAATGTGACAAATGTGTCTAATTCATAAATAGATACAAGTCATGTGCACGTAATCATATCTATGTAGCATTTATATAAAGAAATATCTTTCTCTCTCTCTCTCTATAATTTTATGACAACACCGCGTCCTCTGCAGCAACCCCGCGACGCGGCAGCTGAAAGGTGCCAGCAAAGGGCAGCTGTTCGACCTTCTCATGCGTGAACGCCTGGTTTCAATTCGGTAGGACCTCATTGCTCTGACAATTGGTGTGGCTTTATTCTGAGAATAGAGTGCCGCATCACAAATAGAATCATTTACGCGGCGTGTAGTAAATTGATGCAGGTAGGTACATTATGATGGTACATGATGGTACATGTATGAAATGGATTGAAATGGTATATTCCTTGTTCATCCTTGTTCTGGCTCCGGAGACGGACGGAAGAAACTTGTTTGAGATCTCTGTGGGGCCCTCTGTAAAAAAATAATCTGCCGATATGAAGGGCTGAAGGGGTGGGACTGAAGCCGAAGTGGAAGCCCTGGCCTCCTGCATCTGCAAAGGAGTATGGAAGGCTGCTCTCAATGCCAACACAAGGCCTTGGCTCATAGAAAGTGAGTGAGTCAACAAGCCATCGTCTTATCCTCTGTATTTCAGCTTGCCGAGCATGTCGCAGCGTCTCTCTTCCAATGTGACCAATAGAATTTGAGGACTCCACTTGAGCCGCAGCGATTCAAAAGTTTTCGCAACTCTGGTGGTAGTTTGGATGGATCCTCCATGGCACTCCATATACTCCATCAGCTGCTTGAGAAATTGGATAAGGCTTGACCAAACCCCCACCTCCCCAACGGACGCTCGCCAACATGCCAAATGCCAAAGTCCCGAGTCACTGAGAACATCCTTCCACGGGAAGGCAAAATTCATCAGAGGTGCAAAACATTGCGAGACCACCAGCATCCTCACATGCGTTGTATCGTGTGAAATTCTGACCAATGTTTGAATTTGTTTTTAGTCCTCTTCTGCGATTCCCTACTGATATCGATATATATATATATATTATATATATAGTGACACAATATTACTATATAATATTAATGTATTAATGGTGTCCTCCTCGTTGATTCCAAGGGCCACAGCCTTCACAGGGAGCTCAAATGCTTCACCGCAGCATGGTCTACATATGTTTACAGCAGACCTTGGCGAATCTCCACTCGACGAGGGTGCCAACCCTGACAGCAAGGAGACTGCTTGAAAAGGTTTCATAATTCTGGTTTCGCTGCTGAAATGTTTGCACTTCCACACAAAAATTCACACTCCAAAATGCGATGGAATGTCCTCACCGAGACCCAGCAAGCAAGAGGCGGGAGTTGCAAAAGAGAGCTTGACAGAAAGAGCGCATTCCAAAACATCACACCCACACACACACACGTGTAAACACGTAAACAGTTTTCACATGCAAAACACGTAGACGTGCAAACATACATTGGTTTCTACGGCGGTTGGAACGGGATACTTTGAAACGAAACATTGCGAACACCAAGGGGCCCTGAGTGGCTCATTCAGTATGGTGATCTTCATGCTTGGCTGAGGCTGGTGCGCTCGTGCGTCTTCCTGCAAGTATCAGATTTAGCAACGATACATCGCGCAGTTCCATCGCTTCTTCAGATCACATGCCAGAATCACAAGGATCCTGTTGAGCTATTGAATCATATTGAACCAAATCGAACCTATCGCATGTGTCATTTTGAATCTATCTGCTGTTTATCTATGTTGCTCTATGTTGCTCTCCTCGAAGGCATGGCCATCTCCGACCAAGCTGCATTTCCGCGCTGCGGTCTGCGAAGCAGGACACCGTCATAAAATGTGTCAAGATCGCCCCACCAAAAAAAAACACCGAAGTCCGAGAACAAAGAACATCGGAGAACAATCGTAGAACTTAGTGCCTACATTAACATTAATTAACATTCAGGGCCTCCAGGTGTTGGCCCAAGTTGCCATAGAACTCACACACGTCCTCGCCAGTGAAAATCTCATCTTAGAATGGCAAAGTTGACAAAGTACCTCTACTTCAGCTGTGCGCTCACAACCTGCGGTCCTGTGAGGGCCAGTCGATGTTGGCCTCAGCCACCTCTTGGAGTGGAAAGTCCTCCATGAAACCAATTTTTCCCCGTCACTTTGCCCTGGGACACATGGGACACTGCCGTCTCCCGTCTGCTGTCCTCCCACCACCGGGTGCTGAGGGATGGTTGGGGAGGCGGCCTGCAATTTCTGTCTCCATTTGGTCGCTGATGGTCGCTGAGCAGCTGAGATTCCAACTTGGAGGCCACTCCAGCCTCAGGCTCCCAACATCTCCCAACTGAAAGTCGGGCAAAGGGAATGACTTTGGTAGGGCTGCGACCAAATCTGATGGCAAGCCCGCACTTCCACAACTGACCTCAAAGGTTGGTGAAAGTCTGGAGCCACTTGGAGCCCCTAAATGTGAGATTCTTGGATGCATACTGTGCTCCTGAACGGCCTCACCTGTGAATATTCTGGGACCATTGCTCTTGCCTGAAGCTCTGCAACACCTGTGCATTTTGCAGCCGGTACCAGCTGGTGGACTTTCCCTAGGGACAAATCGGGCTTTTGGTAGCACTTTGGACTTAATTTCTGCAGAACATCACAAAACCAATGCCGTGCTCAGTTGTGGGCTCAGTGTTTGCGCAAGGACTTCCTTCAGAGAGCGGCTGTGCCTTGCAAATTGAAACAAGTAGATTTAGACTAGCATTCAAGACGAGAAGGTACGTTGCTGTGATAGATTGACAAGGCCATGGAAACTTCAATACCCAATTGTCAAAAGCAAAGTGCAATCAAATGATGACAATATGCAACAGTGTGTGGCTAATAAGTGGGGTAAATTTGGAAAAGTGGCAGACACCACAGCTGCTTTTGTCTGCTCTCTTAATCTTGCCTCTCAAATGAGAGGCAGGCAAAATGGTCAAGCCCACTGTTCACATGGGAATTTCAACGGTGCCGCCCGGTCTACCCTGCCCAAGGGACAAGTGCGTTGCTACTTGACCCTCGTGCCCTGGGAGATCAGAACGCTCTCCTACAAGCGCAACTCTGGAACCTTTGGCACAAGAGATGCAGAACCGCAGAACCACAGTGGCATCTGCAGCGAAAAACAACAAGAGACACACCACTTGGTGGATGTTGCTCACCATTTCGACAACATTTGGCAACATGTTCTGTTGATTTTATGGGTTTGTTGCTGAAATACTCATGACAGGTGCTTTATTGCTTTGATTATCTTTGATTCCTTTTCGATCTTGAGACAATTTGGGGAGCAACTCCGGCCATCCTTTCGAATTGAGACCGACTAATCTACTCCTCTTCTACCGAATTTCTTCTCTTTGTGCTCGTTGAAACCATTGATGTCTTGAACTCAACTGGAACTGTGGATAAATGGGCTTGATATGGCTTGATGTATGAGTTGATGCTCACCTATCTTTCTGATTCTCAGTGTGCCTAATTGCCAGCTGAAAGGGCTCTGGTTCTTGCACAGTGGTTTGATCTTTGGGTACTACGTGCAGAGAGAGTATGTAGACTAATATCCTAGCTCAGCACACCATTGCATTACCGACAAATTCTCTGACAAGCACTTTGGGGCCAATGAGCTAAAATTCTTGGACTGCGCCATCTTTGGCTCGGGCCGCTGTGACACAAATCCGGCTGCTTTACAAGGCATGTGCTTTAAGCAGCAAATCTTGGCGCTGTCACTTCACTACGCCGACGAATGCAGCAACATCCCCTCAGATGCTGCTGTGGCAACCTGGGGGTAAAGACGTAAAAGCGAATTTGGTTGCCAAGGCCAAGCCCAACATGTCCGCAGGCCGACCCAAAATGTTTCCACAATGCAGCCAGGACACTGTGCAATTCGATTCCCATTCGCAACACTCAAACTGACAGGGCGACCAAAGTTTCGGTCTCCTGCACCGAGTAGCCTTGGAGTCGTAAGTAATCCTCAGTCGGAAGAAACACACATACATTTGTCCTGCAGACTCAAGCAACATACTGAAGAAACACACATACATTTGTCCTGCAGACTCAAGCAACATACTGAAACCGTACCTGGTGCCAAAAAAAAGAGAGGACACCCTGGACTCTATGCACATTCCTCCAAATCGTATCACTTTCGACATCTCTTCAGCAATTTAACATGCTCTTCAGATGTATTATTCAGCAGGTCTGATCCAATTGAGGCACATGTATAGATTTATTGTTAAACATTGTAGTATGTAATATCCGCACAAAGACATGTGCATATGTATACACGATATTTATATATATATATACACATATGTATATTATATAATATATAATTGAGGCGAAGGTTCCACCCACTGCTCGATGTTGTACTCCGAGCGCCTTGCAGAAGTGCTGGCTAAAATGCGTCCAGATGAGGCAACAAACTGTAACTGAATCATCAAAGGCAACAGCCCTGCCATGCCCTACAAGTCAGATTTCAGAATCATTCGTCATGATCTATCAATCTTCGTCCTTGATGGTGTCCAAAATTTCGTGATCAGAGGCTGGGACCCTGTCGTGTCACCTTAGGAGCAAGTTCAGCAACGCAACCCGCAGATGGTCTGCGAACAGCAAATTGAGAGAGTTTTAGCCTTGAGTTTCTCCTATTTGCATGCCGCCATGTCACTGAACACCCTGGCTGCGTGGAATTGCCCCTCATTCTGCGGCATTGGAAGGCTATGATCTGCCAAAGCTTGCATGAAGGCTATACCTTAGTGCTCATCCCAGATGCTATGGTGTAGAATGTGCCCAGCCTGATCCACTTTCCATCCTTTCTGATGTGCTACCCCACTGCAGTTCAAACAAGCTTCGTTGCTCAAGATCATCAGGAAGCCAGTTGCTTTGCACATCTTGCTCATTTAGCAGTCTTGGTGGCTGCGTCTCGACAACTGCTGGTTCTTCTTCACATGTCTTCGGTGTCTCGCTGCCCTCTTTGCGTCCTCGAGCTGTCCGTCCTTATACGGATGGGTTTGTTTCTTACAACTGTGCATGCTCTGAAGAATCACATCAATCCATACTGCCATACTGCAATCATGTATATACTCCATTGTGCTTGCCGCTTGGATTTGTGAGTAATGTGTTGCCCTGCGCTGTGCTTTGCATTGAATTCTGTTGCATTGTATGCAGCAGGTATGTGCAGCAGGTATGTGCAGCAGGTATGTGCAGCAGGTATGTGCAGCAGGTATGTGCAGCAGGTATGTGCAGCAGGTATCTCTGTCTCACTCTGTCTCTGTTTGTATTTGTGCATGTGGTCATGCGGTGGTGTGCAAAGGTAGGTCAATGTTTGTACGTAGGTTCTTGGGCAAATGTCCACTTCTGCTTGGGAAGAAGTCATGTGTACCCATGTGCCTGCGTACGTAGGTCTATTTCAGTATGTTATTGTCTATATCTGCACATGACGATAATGATACAGCGATAATCAGTGATACATGTGCATATCTTGCAAACTATTGTATCATTATCTATGTTTGCTGCGAGCAAAACCTGCAGCTAGCTGTCTGTCCGTCCATTCTGCAACTGGAAAACAGTGGAAAGCATATGGATGTGTTGATGGAGGGATAAAACAGTTCGACCGACAAGGGATCCAAGCAGCAATAGCAAACTCAAACTTTTGGTATCAGTATAGGAAAACGGAAATAACTGCTTGCATTGAACTGCTTTCCCTGCTAAATGCGATGTAAAGAAACCAATGGCAGGCAAGCATCGTCTGAAAAAGGGCAAGAGCTTAGTAACCATACGCCAAGTCAGAAATTTGTTACACACTTAAAGCAGTAGCTGCCAGCGCTAGTGCTTGAGGCAAGCTGCGGATCAAACACGCAACTTGTCACTTGTGATCAGCTGTTCGAGATTGTTCGAAACACCGCAGCATCAAGAATTGACGTCAAAAAGTGCTTCAGCATAGTTCAGTACAGTGCAGTACTCTTCAGTATGCTTCAGGAAATATACTATTTTTCTTCATAGAATTGACATACAGATCAGAAATCGACCATGGTTCCCTATGGTTTACCTATGGTTTACCTAGGTCAATGGTCAACATCCCCTGAGTGGTCCGCTGCTCAGCTCGGATCGCTGCTTCAATGCTGTGGAGGGCCTGGAAGCCATGATGACGATGATTTAAACAAACATAGTGACAAGATAATCATCATAATAATATACCACATATGCAAGTATATTATATATACGTATATAATATATATATATATGTATGTATTATATTATATATATTGTGTATAATTACATTATATTGTGTATATTTAATATGCTGGACCTTTTTAAATAATGAGTTTGCAATCCATTTCCAGGGACTCGCTCGACTTGGCTGAGACTGGGCCTGCTCAGCACATCTCTTGGCTGTTTCTCGAGCAAGGGCGCTGGCATTCACCTCTCCAGGAAAAGCATGGAAACGGCATAACATAATTCGAACAACCTGGGCCACATTGGCAGCCTGCAGATTGGTGAATTGGGCATACCTAGCCATCTTGAACCATCTTGCATGCTGTGGCCTGGGCATGTCATGGCATTGGTCAAGCTATTTGCTGTTGAATCCCCGGACTCATTCTTTCATCTCAACCAAGTGTTCTTCGACAGATCGAAACATCAGGTTGTCCTGCCTGTACTGCATCTTCGAGGATCCCCATGCCTTAAAGCTCGGACTCTTCCAGGTCAGAAGGTTCTCAAAGAAAACCAAGGGACTTAAAGGGACTTAAGACTGAGAAACTCTTTATATAAATGATATTGATATTGGATGATATTGGCACGTGATGATAGCATGCACAATTTTAGCGTTCAACTCTTCCAACAAGGGCGGCACAGAGCTGAGCGCCTTCTCTGGCTGTTGCTGCCGTCCGGTCCTAAGTCACAAAGATCTCCGCATTGTCTTCTGGTTTTCCCACGTCCCATAGTTCAATATAGTTCATACTGCTTCATCATCTCCCCTCTACATCTCCCCTCTACATCTCCCCTCTACATCTCCCCTCTACATCTCCCCTCTACATCTCCCCTCTACATCTCCCTGTATCAATCCCTTCTCTCTATCTCCCTGCCCCCCCCTTTCATGTCAATGTGTGTGTGAAAACCTTTGGCCCGATCCACCTTCTGGGAGAGTTCCGTTCAAGCTTTACTGTAACACCCGCCGTCATGACCGCTGAGAGATGCAAGGGATGAAAGGAGAATACCGAAATTACCGAAGTGATGTAAAAGCGAGGCACCGCGTGATTCGCCACACGGCCAGCGGCCAGGGCAGCTGGAAGAATGTTGCCTGCAGAGTCACAGTTTGCGACACTACTTCGAAGTAGTTACTGCATGTTATTGCTATGTTTTGCTATCTTCGTTTAATTTTTTTTTACTTTCCCACAGTTGCTTCATCTCACTGAATGCTCCGCCTCCAGTAAAGGAACCTGCAAATGAAAGCGAAGGCGTGACTTCACGACAAAGTGTCTGTCAATGGCCTCCTCGGCTCTCACTGGCTACCAGTTGATGAGCCAACGCCTTACAACGAGTTGACTGCCGAACATGCAACCTATGCAATCTATGCAACCTATGCAATCTATGCTATCTATGCAATCTATGAAATCTATGCAATCTATGCAATCTAGAATTTGTAAGTCTTGTGGATTTGGTTGGAGATTTGATAACTTGTTCCAAGGTCTTGTTCCAAGGTCTTTGCACATGCTTCTCCTGCCGCCCGGGCCTTGCAGCCACCATCTGAAAAGAAATAAGGTTTGAAGTTGATTCAAAGTGAAAAAGTGAAAGGATGGATGCTGGTGCACGATCTGGGGTTGTTTCATCTGCGTGTGCTTGCTGTCCGAAGCTGCGGAAAATGTCCTGGCAGGGTTGTCACTGATTGCCTTGTTGCACAGCTGCACCGCCAGCGTCAGGGAAATGTTATAACCCATGCTGCCCCAAACAATGATTTTAAACGTCCGGCGATCCTCTCCAGCACCAGCAGCGGGCCTGATCATAAGGATTCGGATGCTTTTGCATGCAATAGGGCGAATGCACAAGGAGGCTCTAAGGACTCCAATCGATGCACTTCTATAAAACCTTTCTAATTACCCCTTGGTCACCCTGATCAAGGTCGAAATATTTTTTCCCTCAACAGTGTGGCCGCACTGGGGGTTGTTACGGTAGGTGTTAAGGTCCGGCAAATTTGTTGACCCTTACAGCACAAAAGTTCCTTCCTCTTCCGTTTTTGGTGGAAGTCTCGCGCTAGACAGTTGCCCGGAAACCTCTCGCGCAACCGCGGTGCGACTTTTGCGCTCACTCGCGCAACCGTCTCGGCACTTTGGGCCTCTCAGTTCGCTCTCGTTGCGGCGCGGTGCGAATTTTGATGGTCAAGGAAGGAGATCTTGCGCAGAGATATTGACACGGAGGTCTTTTATAGAGAACGTGCGCAGAGATCTTGCCATGGAGACCTTTTATAATTTTATAGAGATCTTGTACAGAAAGCTTTTATAGGGGTCTTGTGGAGAGATCTAGCCAAGAGGTCTCTTACAGAGATCTTGCCAACAAAGCTCTTATACAAACTTCTGCAGAGATATCTTCAATGATTCAAGGGATCTTGCCAAGAGACCTCTTACAGGGAGTTTGTACAGGGATCTTGCCAAGAGGCCTCTTATAGAGATCGTGTACAAAGATCTTGCCAAGAGGTTTCTTGCCGAGCTCTTGCCAAGAGAACTCCTATAGAGACCTTGTGCAGGGATCTCTGAAATAGATCTTCCCCAGAGAACTCTTATAGGGAGGGGCGTTTGTGCAGAGAGCTTGCCAGAGACCTCTTATAGAGATCTTGTACGGAGATCTTGCCAGGACAACTCTTATGGAGATCTTGTACAGAGACATTGCATAGAGATCTGTCGCAAAGATCTTGCCAAGAGGTCTCTTACATAGATCTTGCCAAGAGAGCTCTTATAGAGGGAGCTTCTACAGAGATCTCACAAAGAGATCTTGCCAAGAGACCTCCTATAGGGAGCTTGTGCAGAGATCTTGCCAAGAGGCCTCTTATAGAGATCTGTGCGGGGATCTTGCCAAGAGGTCTCTTACAGAGATTTTGCCAAGAGACCTGTTTTAGAGATCATGCACAAGGATCTTGCCAGGAGACCTCTTGTAGAGACCTTGTACAGAGACCCGGTGAAGAGAACAGAGATCTTGCTCAGAGATCTTTTCTAAAGAGCTTGCGCAGAGATCTTGCTTTGACATCTCTCACAGGGACCTTCTGTGGATATATGTTAAATAGACACCTTGCACAGAGATCTTCAGAAAGAGAACTTGCGGAATCTAACCTGGTATCTCTTCTTCCAGTGACCACCTCGACAATGAACACCATGCTTTCACTACTAGGGTCGCTCTTGTCCTGATCCTTCTAGCTTGGAGCCACTGATGCTTTTGGGTCCTTTCAACCTTTCCCTTTAGAATCCTAACTACACACTGTTTGGGGTCTCTTGCCGGGATAATTAGACTCTCTTCAACAAGGTTGTCTTCTCCAAACTCGTTTTTAAACTTTTTGCTCAAACCCGTCATATCTGTATAC